ACAATTTTACGATCTCCTTCCTATCAATTCAATGGTACTTAATCGTTCACGGTCTTATATAATCTAATCGTTGCTCAGAAAATTCCATACCATTTTCGTTCACCGCTATTATCTTTCATCTTAGAACTCGTTGAAAAGAAATTAAAAAAACTTATTTTTTTTCTACCTAAAGCCACCCAATATAAATATAAATATATATATATATTTTCAAATAAAAAATATTCACGAAATTTTTCAACTTCTCGGGACTGTTGTTCGACTTATCCGACATGCGGTGCGACGAGCAATTGCGATAATAGTTGCGTCTTCTGTTCGCAGGATGGTATTGGACCCCAAGGTCACGAGTCTGCATAGTGATTACGGAAGCTTCGATCGACCATTGGGCGCCGGAGAGGGCCACGAGAGGGACGTCGAGGCGGCGGTTGATGGAAGTAGCAACGGTATGGCACAGTCGAGCGACGTTTATCAACGGCAGCCGTTATTACCTGGTGCACCGACCAAGGGCAAGGATAAGTGGTCCGGCGTGGCATCCGGCTCCGACTATTACGTGGACGACGAAGACGAGAAGATCGACAGTCTTGGCCGGCACCCTGGCATACCAAATGGCTCCGGGAACGGTGTCGTTAAACTCGACATACCTGCACCACTTCGAGAAGAACCTCGTTTTCCTAAAGAGAAATGGAAAACGTTCCTTGGTAAGAATTCTTTCTTCGTATTGATATATGAATTTTCCATCAGATTTGAGCTGATTGTTTGTGCACAATTTGCCACTTGGAGGAGGAGGAGGAAATGGTGGTTACGTAGATCGTCTGACGTCACGTTTTACGCTAGCAGTAGTAAAAGGGCGAACAAACTGACTGCCAATTGAATATATATCACGCCAACAGAAATTCCCTCTCGAGGGAATAATGACGTCACATTATTCGCACTCCCACTCTACACCCACGTCGTTATATCACCCGCGTCTAACCAGCGAAGTAATCCTCATCATTTGTCTATAGATGAGTCAGACGTCATCGGGTATGTTAATTTTCTTTCAAAAAAAAAAAAAAGAAATTTGATTATTAAAGTCTGACGTCATATAATACGCGTTCTATAACAATGTTGGTAAGAAGTCTCGTAGGATTTATAGTATGACACTTTTCTGACTTATTATCTTATTCTTGTGTTGAACGTATTAAATCTTCAAAAAATTTCTTACAATAATTATTTCAAGAAAAAAGGAAAAAAACGCTTTTTGTTCTAAGGAGTTTATCGTTAATTATTATATTGTTATATCTTCTTTATAATGATCGCAAAGTTATCAAAGATTATTACTATTAACTTCGAGAGATTGAATTTGAAGATTACTTTATACAAAAGACTATTATATAGAAATGAAAGAAAAAAAAGTGCTGTGTGTGACTTACGTTTGAATTCATCACGATATTGAATCCCTGTTAGACGAAATTTTGATTAGATATGTTGTTATTAATTTGAAAAAGAATCATGAGATAAGAATTTACAAACAAGATACAATGATAACACGAAAAAAAGGAGATATATTCCTCGTGTAACTTCGTTGATCTTTTTAGGGCCAAGCTTCTCTCGTACAAGCGTTTCATTCACACGAACGGGGGATGTCCATCGAAATCGAGATCGAGGTCGCTACGTGGCCTGGTATTTCGATGCAGATCTGGCTGATCTAATACAGAGATGCTTGATGTGTTCTTGAACGATAAATCCAAAATGATGGACTCATTAAAATCGGATTACTGACAACACCCGTTAAAGTTGATTCTGTTTCAAAACTAGATTGTTGCGTGACAAAGTTCTCCGCTCTTGTAAACGTGTTTCATTTCAGTTGTTATCAGCAACTTAAATAATAATTTGCCTTTTTTGTTTTTTTTACAAGATAAGATATAAACGTCATGTTGTAATCTTACATTCATTGCATTAAGTTTCTGCGTAGAATTTTAGAAACAAAATTTTATTCAATTATTCAATGATAATTCAATCAATGTATTATAGGTGGGAAAAGTTTTTGTTTAATTTGATTAATGACAATTGAAATACATATTTTAATGCGTCACTTGATATGTTAATGAATGAATATATTAATCCGTTCTTTTGTTGTTATATTCTTAGACTCGGAGGATTAAAAAAAAAATGAAATTGTTCTATGAATGTTTGCGGATATATGAACAGGTTTGAAGGTGGAAAAGTTTTTCTCTTGTTGGTTGAAAGCCAGAACAATTGAATTTTGGCATGATGCCATTTCCTGAGAATGTATATTATCGTGGTAGCAGCTTTTATGTTGCAGCTTAATATATATAGAGTGTCTCAAGATAAATGGCGATGGATTGTAATTAATTAATTTTTTAAGAGAACGAGAGAAAGAAAAGAGAGAATATATGAAAGTCTAAAATATATATTTTTATGATTAATAAATTTTAATGACGTTAAATTTAAAGTAAAGAGAATATTATTTGTCAGATGATTCATCCGCATTCATTAATGCGGAAATCTTTAATAAACAAATAATAATTTCTCACTTTTAAATTACCATAATGTTCTCTTATATAAGAACGTTGAACTTATTTATTTTACTCATTTAAGAAAAGAAAAATAAACGCAAAAAAGTATATGCTATTAAATACATAATGAATTCATAAATAAATTGACATAATGAATCGAAATTAACAACAAAAAGATATAAAATTTATTTATTTCAAACTTCGTTTGACTCATTTAGTACGTATCGTACATCTGGTAGATAGGCGCTCGCTGGTATATGCGTTTTACTTTTGAAATATATATTGTTGTGCATTGTGTATCAAAGCGAAAGGGAATATTCTGTAAAAAAAAGCGGCAAACAGAGAAGGAAAGCGCGAACGAGCAAGAGAGAAAGAAAAACAAGAGGAGAGACCGAGTTGTTAGAAATTTCGGAACAAAGGAAGCATAGCCGTGCAAAGTGGAGTACTAACTCCGTTTCTATGTTCACCGACTATAAGAGAAGACTATAAAATGCACCACGATGACTGTTACCTCTGTATTCTATCGTGCACGCGCGATATTTGACTAAACTGCGGTGACCCGCATGCTTGAATCACTAGTTTATTTTCAGCCGATTGATGCATGTTAGCTGCCATTGTTTGAAGGAAAATAAATGATACATTGTACGATTTCCTCGAATTTTAATTAAATTAAATGAATTGTTTAATTAAATTAAATAATCGTGGGTAATTGTGAACGATCAATAATAGGATTAAGATTCAAAGAATTATTTTTAGAAATAAAGAAACTTATTTTAATTAAAAAAATTATTTTTTAAAAAATAATTTAAATATATCTTGATTATCAATGTATTTATTTTTAAATATAATTTTGATCTCTTATATAATATCTGTTTTTAGGGCAAGTTTAACGAATTCTAATTAAGAAACGTACAAAAAATATCATAAATATTTAAAATAAAGAATAATCTATTTCTAAGACGATAAGAATTTTTTTATGAATTTGTCTTTATTTAAATATTTGGATCTTTTGTTCCGATACTGAAGATGTGATTTATGTTGCAGCATTTCTATTCATGGTCGTGAACTTCATATTAACCACCGCGTCCCTCGCAATGGTGCACGAACGGGTTCCGGATCGAAATACATACGGACCGCTCCCGGATGTAGTGTTAGACAATATTGCCGCTCAGGATTGGGCCCTTAACGTGTCGGAAGTTTTGATTATGATATTGTCCAATTCAGCGATGGTTTTTATTATTTTTCATAAACATAGGTACGTATTATATATCGAATATCGAAAAATTTTTATATATATATATATATATATATAAAAATTGAAATTTTTGCTCGACAGGTTTGGATCAGATGTAAAAAAACAAGTAACATTAGTATTAATACAGCGTAAAAAAAATTGCAAGGCAGTCGTTTTGCCACTTCTTCAAATTCTTAAATCATCAAATTTGAGCTAACGAGATAGAATTTTTGGTCATTATTGTAGGTAATGTTTGTGTCTACTTATTATTTTACAAAATATGTTGGTTTTTTTAGGTTTATCGTTGTTAGACGAATATTTCTCTTGATGGGATTGCTGTACTTGATGAGAAGTATCACGATGTACGTGACAGTACTGCCTGTTGCCAGTAAAACGTATTACTGCAGCCCAAAAGCAAACAATACCAGTCCTTTACTCGTTACAAAAAGGGTTTTGCAACTCATTTCTGGCTTTGGCTTGTCTATAAACGGCAAGCATACTTATTGTGGAGATTACATTTACAGCGGTCATACAGTCGTGCTTGTACTTAGTTACCTGATTATCAAAGAATGTAAGTATTTTTTCTATGATATATATATATACTAGTTAGAATAGTATAGAAATGTAAATTCGTAATATGTTATTTATTTGCATGTAAAAAATCGAACGATTAAAAGAAAATGAATATTTAAAAATATAGATTCTCCGAGAAGATGTCAACCAATACATTGGCTAGCGGGCATTATTGTTCTTATTGGGGTAATTATGGTCTTGGTAGCTCATGGACATTATACCGTAGATGTCTTTATAGCATACTATGTAACTACACGCTTATGGTATATCTATCATACGTTAGCTAATAATTCACATCTTAAGGTAAGTTGAACTTTTTTTTTTTATTAATGCTTTGTCTGTGAAATGTGAAAAATTGATATTATATAAAATTATAATACTGATATTATAAAAATATAAATAATGAGGGGGGAAAAATAATATATATATATAT